GGAGGGGCCGCTTCCTGCCCTGACATGGACGGATGATGACCTGGCCTCGCCGAGACCACAGGGGTCCTGTGCATGCTGACTTCGTGTGTTTACATGTGTTGATGGTAATTATACTGGGTGACTGTGCTTTTAGGTGCTGTAGAAACAAACAATAGAGACAAGGAAAGCACAAGACCACAGACTAGAGTCATTAGCAGCAGTGACACTGCTGGGGCGTGGGAGGGGGAAGGCTGCACGTGCTTCATCTTTTTCTGCTTAACGCACACAGATCGATTTTTTTCCTACTGAAAATCCACAGCTGAATTTTTTGAACCACATGGCTGTTTCAAGATTTCTGCATATCCACCCCTTGTCCAAATCCGAACGCATTCTTCAAAAAGAAAACATTCTACGCTCTGGAACAATTAATTGACAAATATTATTAGAACTAAGAATCACCTTGGGCCAAAGCCAGATGCGGAATCTTCCATTCACTAGGGAGAAAAAATGTCAGACAACGTTGAATGCCGACTGTAAATGCGCATATATTTAACTGCAGACGAGTTATTATTAATCAGCACACTAATTTTAGGCAGCGCGCAGAATATCACACTCGGAGGGGAAGGAGTGTGGGGTGTGGAGGCCTGGGGACAGCAGGCAAACCTCACCTGGTCGCGTGACTGTAACGGCGGTCTGCCCAGCGGTGTCTTCGGCCCGTTTGTACCACACGCCCCTGGGGCTGGGCAGCCACTCCTCCACGTGGCAGCTGTAGGTCCCGCTGTCCTGCACGGCCACGTTCTGGATGAAGAGCCGGTACGTGCCCGAGGAAGGGCTCTCCAGATGCAGCCGGCCCTTCAGGTTGTTCTTGGCCGCCTGCTCCCCGTAGTGGAAGGTGGCCTCGCGGCTCAGCCGGGCCACCGTCTCCCGCTCCGGGTGGTTGGGCTTCCACACGAACCACTCCACCGCGAGCTGGGAGGCCGCGCTGGTGCGGTTCAGGACCACGCACTCCAGCTGCACCTGCTGTGTCTCCAGAACCGACAGGTTCCCCTGCGCCTGGCTGAGCTTCAGGCGGCTGTCTGGAAAGGCGGGGAAAGGGAAGTCAGCAACAGGGAAGCGACCAGCCACCCGCACGCATCCCTTCCAAGCACAGGTGAACGGGTGCCTCCCGAATACACAGGGATGGTAGTCCCCATGATTGATCGGCGGCCGCGTTCCTCAGGGGTGGCACCCTGACCGCTCTGGGCCTCTCGATCGTGTCCGAGTTTCAAGGAGCTCGATGTGACGGTAGCAGCTGTCCCCCAATTAGTAACCCTCATCATTCAGACACTTAACAGAGGACAAGCACATGCTCTTGTCCTCGATGACTTGTGCAGGTGACTGCACATCCGAATGACAGCAAACCCACGAAGCGAATGGCTGACTGGAGCCGGAGGCTGAGAAGGGACAGGGAAGGCCTTGGTGAGAAAAAAAAAAGCAGGTAGATTTTTAAAACTGACCACACGGAGGGAGTATGCTGGGCTGTCCCGCTGCAAAAGAAGTGCAGACGGCACCCAGTTTCATACATTCACAAGTTGGCCCTAAGAATAGCGGTTCTTAATTTCGCTATTAAAAAACCACGTGGGTTCCTTCTCAAGGTGGGAACAGAACTGATCTGACATCAACAAACAAAGGACAGGTATTGATGGAACCACGGGCTTGAAAACTCAACCAGACAGAAGTCTCGTTAATGACGACGACATGCACAAAAGGCCCTAACGAGTCCGTCTGGGGCAGAGAGGCATCGACAAGCTAAGAAACAGTAAACGCACAGGAGCACCCCAGACAGCACCCCACCCTGGGGATGTCCCAGCCGGAGGAGGCCCGGGCACGCTAACTTGTCCCTTTTCACACTTCGAAACGGTCAGAGTATTTTACAAGGCACATTATTACTTTTGTAATTGAAAGGTCAAAAGATTAAAAAGGAGAGAAAAATATCTTTTGAATATCCAGTCTCCCGAAAATACACACACACACACACATCCTGGTTGTCTCGGGGTTGAAAAGTTATTTTCTTCTTTGTGCTTTTTTTGTCTTTTCCGTGTATTCTTTCTCAACTGAAAAGAAAAGGTGTTGGGGGGGCGGGGGGAAAAAGAACTAGAAGCAGGGAGGGGAAACCAAGACAAAAATGCACAGACCCAAAATCTCAATGGAAAAGGGGAACGTGCTGTGTTTGTTTGTTTGTTTGTTTTGGAATGTGCTGTTTCAATCGCGTTCTGTGAGTTTCCGTTTATAACGTTAACAGTCCCCACGAACAGAGATGTCAAGAAATGTGTTTCCACAAGAATCCCGGGGGCCTGTCTGCCCTGCCCAGTCAGCCCGATCTGAGTCTGAGGCCTCGGCGGGGGGACGTCCCTGGATAAATTTAGGCCCCACCACCGCGTCTCGGTTTCGGGAGAAACGAGAAAGGGAAAGGACGGACGGAGACGCGGACTCAGCAGAGGACGTGCTCAGAAGTGAAGAGAGACAGGACGAGCAGAAACCTAACGGAACAGCTGTGGGCCTGAGGTCAACCTCCAGCTCTCGAAAGCCCCTGGGACTGGCCTGAAGGTCGTGGGACTCGCCCACAGGTTGCAGTTAGACCGGGCCTCCTTTTGACTGCACCAGCGCAAGGGCTGGCACCACATGGCACTGAGAGGCTGAGGAGAATCCCTAGACAGGGGCCATTTTAGAAATACGACGTGCTGGGGAAAGGGACGGGCCCGTCGCGCTTGACTCTGTGTCTGGTTGTGTCTGCCTGACGGCTGAGGTCTCCTGGGAGACAAGCCATGGGAACAAAACGGCAAACAGAACAGAGCACCTGTTACCTGTGCCCACTCAGGGGGCTTCGAGTCTAGCGGAGGAGGCAGACGGCAAACCCACAAATGGCGAACGAGTGATATATTGTACCTGACAGTCAAGGAATTTCTGTAAGTATAACGATGAATCAGTGTTCATAATTACTTGTACATGAAAAGGCAAAGAAACAGAATGCCAGGTGGTGATGTGTCCGGTGAAGGGGGTGGGGAAGGGGATACAGAACGACCAGGGTGTTATTTTCATTAAAAGGAGCTAAGAACGTCTCTCTGAAGAATGGGATAAATGAAAACGTATGGTTGACATGCTCCAGGCTGAGGGAACAGGAAGTACAAAGGCCCTGTGGTGTGCAGGGAAAGTGACCATTCACTGCTTATTCAACTAATATTTATTAAGGATGACATGCCAGCCACTGAAGACACAAAAAGACAGCCCTGTCCTCAAAGTGCTTACAGTTTAATGGTGAAGAAATGCAAACAAACAATTATTGTACTATGTGTTTTATAAGAAACCCCTGGTGATATGCGAGATATCAGGGAAGGCTTCCTGGAGGTGGTGCTGTGAAGCCTCGGAAATGGGGTGAAGAAAGGGGAGAAGCAGCAGGAAAGGGGCATTCCAGGTGGAGAAGGCAGCATAAGCAAAAGCACAAAGATGGGACTCGGTCACAATACAGCACCTCACAGCCCAGCAAGGACCGGCAATGACAACAAACTACAAGGCACGCAGGAATGAGGGCTAGAGAGGGAGCTTAAGGCCACGTTAGGTGAGACGTTCAAAGCATCAGAACTCTTTTCAAGAAGAAGGGGAGACCGACAGGGGCACACAGAGCTCCCTTCACGCATACAGTCTTGTATCACCTAACGACGGATACATGCTGAGAAAGGCGTCATTAGGCGATTTCATTGTGCAAACATCGTCAAGTGCATTTGCACAAACCTAGATGGTCTAGCCTCCTGCACTCCTAGGCTGTATGGGCTAGCCTCCTGCTCCGAGGCGACACGCCTGCACAGCACGTTACTGTACTGAATACAGCAGGCAACTGTAACAAGGTGGTATGTATCTGTATCTAAACACAGTAGGAAAGTTATAAATGGTGCACCTGTCTGGCGCAATTACCATGAGCCTGTGGGACCGAGATTGCTCTTGCGGGGGAGGGGGTCAGTGAGCGAGGAGTGAGCGACGGTGAAGGTGAAGGTCAGTACCACTTACTACGGCAGATGCCGTAGACACTGTCCCACTAGCCCTCCCCCTGCTGCCTTCCAGCGGGATCAGAAACAGAACTTTGAAGCTGTTGGTGCTGCTCCCTGAACATGGCTGTGGGCTGGGCTGGTTGGACATACCGAGGAGAAACTGGCTGGGTGAGGCGCGGATCACTAGAACAGAACGGTGACCATCAGGAGGGGCGAAGGGGGCCCAAGGGTCAGTGGGAATGAGGAATCGGTAGCACTGGGGTGATAGGACCCTCTGTGCTGAAACAGGTCAGTGGCTGACTGACTGGGATGTAATCTGTGCACTCAAAATTGAGGTGCGGTGAGTGACAGGGACTCTCCTGCCAGGCCCCACAGATACTGCTCCCGTCAGATGAAAAAAGAAATTCCTCCTGAATCACATAGCTTCCATCTCCTACAGGAGACGCAGCTCCACCGTCATCCTAGGGGACCACCATCGCATATGTGGTCCGCTGCCGACTGAAAGGTCGTCGTGACTGCATCTGAAAAGATGCGACCCAAACTCCTCTTGGGTTGTTCCAGGGGCAGGTCTAAAACCTGAGAGGGAAATTACAGGGAGGGGGACTTTCAATAACTAGGGCTGCCCCAAAGTGGAACTGAGGCCTGCAGAGGTGGGGGCTTCTCCCTCCCTGGGGGCGCTCCCGCAGAGCTCGTCTGCCACGTGTCAGGGAGCAGAAAGAGGGTCGCTCCCACAGGTCGGAGAAGGCCCCAAGGGGTGATTCAACTTGGCGACAGGAAGCGCTCGTCCCTGGGCTGGGGGACGGGCAGTAAAGAAAAAGGGGGAAGACATGAGGGGAACCCTGAGATGCTTTCTAGGCAGGATGCTGGGTAGAGAGCTGGCACCAGCCCCAGATCCGGTGCAAACCGGAAACCCAGAGGAGAGCCAGCCACATCTTGCCGGGCACAGCTGCCCCTCAATCCGCTCCCTGGGAAAGGCGCTGTCTGCCACAGCAGAGGCCAGGATGCTTTTCTGAGACTGCCGGCAGCACCGGGCAGTGGGCAGGCCGCACCACACGAGGTGGCACTGGCCTGTGCACCTGCGCCCATGGCCGGCGTGGACCGCGCAGAGCCCTGCCACCCCCAGCTCGTCCTCTGCACTAAACCACTGGCCAGGGATGGCTGCACTCCGTCCTTACCTGGCTGCTTCACAGTGACTTCCGTGCGCCCCGAAACCTCCTCTGCCAGCTTGTACCAGGCGTAGTTGGGACTCAGCAGCCACTCCTCCACGTGGCAGTAGTAGCTGCCGCTGTCGCTGACCTCGGCTCTCTGGACGGTGAGGCTGAACAGGCCCCCGGACACGTGCCTCTCAAACTGCAGCCTGGCCCGCAGGCCCTCCTCCTCGGCGTAGGTGCCGTACTCAAAGGCGGAGCTGTGGGTGGTTTTGAGGATGAGCTTGCCGTCGGCGTCCGAGGGCTTGTGGACGTACCAGAGCACGGCGAAGTGGGAGTTCTGGCTGGTCTGAGACCTGACCGAGCAGCTCAGCTGGATGGGCCTGTTCTCCACCAGGCTGAGGGTCCTCTTTGATTTGCTCACCTGCAGCTTTGTCACTGCAAAGGAGAGGGGGACAGCTCAGCAGAACCACCACACACCCGGAAACAGTTCCTAGGAGACAGGAGACTGTGGGGACACAGCATGGCTCCGTGTGAGGGAAGCCGCCGGGGGCTGATTCGCCCCAAACATCCCTCCACGTATCTCATCTTTGCCTCACCCCCCGCTCAGGCCCTCACCATCTCTCCGGGTCCCCCGCTTGCTCCTCCTGCCTCGCACAGCCTCTAGGGGATCCAGCTGAAACACAAGTCTGCCATCCAACTGCTTTCAGGTTATATAAAGTAAAACACATTCTTTTTTGTAGTACAAAGTTCCTCCAGGATCTGGCCCTCGCCCAGCTGTCCTCACTCATCTCCCGCGAGTCCCGCCCCATGCACTGTCCCCCTAGCTCTGGACTCTGCTTGGCCGGCTCCTCGGCCTGTCTCTTTCTGCCATCTTCCCTCTGGCCCTTTCTCCACTGCCCTCCTCATCTCTCTGCTGCTCTCCTGCCTCGTTCCCATCCTGGCGGGCAGGGCGCCCGCCCATGTGCTTCTCTCAGGACCCTGCATGGATCTTCAGACGGGTTTTCCTTGCATCTCTCTTCTTCCAACCTCGTCTGTGAGCTTCCTAAGGGCAGAGATCGAGCTCCTTCCACTCGATCTGCACATATTCAGAGTGTGCCCACTCTGTCCCCGCATGACGCTCGGGACTGGGGACGCCCTAAAGGATAAGGAATAAGACAGTCCTGCCAAGAGGACGTTCTCTGCACGGCACCCGCAGAGCCGGGCACAGTGCCCTGGGCTTCAGGCAGCGCTCGATCAACGTTTGCTGAGATGTGTGCGCGTGAGTGGGTGAGCGAATGCAAGCAACGCTGGAGAAACATGCAGCAGGTAGTTAGGGGATGCTGGGGTGCTCTTCCTGGGGCGTGGGGGAGAGGAAGAAGGCTGAAGAAAAAGTGATGACCAGCGGGCCAGCACACAGCCGGCTCCAGCCTCCCCCGCCCGTTATCCAGCTCCAAAACCAGAGGCGAGGGCAGGCAGACTCCGGAGCGTGCCTACCTGCTAATTAATGACGACGCTTGCTTTGAGGTGGCAACAAGCCACGGTTTAATGAAATATATCCTATGAAGGTAATTTGAGATCGTACCCACTCCATCATTGCTACACTTGGCTCTGCTCGCCTCGACCCACCAGCCTCCCCCTACTGAAAAGGACGCAATTCCAAGTTCCTCTCGGCGAGCTAACAGTAACGGCATCACCTACCTCTGCCCCGCTTTCCACTACACCTTTCAAGACCAAACCCCTCACCAGCTGAGAAAGAACCTGAGGTAAGGCACAGACCAGGACGGAGGGAGGAGCCTTTCTCCAGTCATCCCGCCCAGAGGGAGGCCAGGGCAGGTCTGCTGGGCCTGTCCTGTCTCCAGCACCCCCGCTGGCCCCTTGATCCAGATGGAGGGCTGAGCCCACTGGTCTCGCCTCGGCCCCCTCTGTCGGCACTGGCCGGCTGTCCCTCAGAGCTCGGTGCAGAACAGCATCGAGGCCTGAGCCTCAAGGGCCAAGGTAACTGAAACTTTTCAAAGCCTCGGGCTGTCACTCGGGCAGCCCGGTAACACACAGACAACCCTTCTGAACGGCCGAGAGGGTTCAGTAAGCTAAGGGATGGCAGAACCTGACACCCAGCACCATTACTCCAAAAGCAACCCTGAGGACCCGTCACCCCCCAGTGGTAAAACCAGGTGACACTCTTTTGAAAGGGCCGCTGAATTCACATACCTACAGACCTTCCCGAGACATCAAGAACACACCAAGCACAGACTGGAAAGGCGTCTCTGGTCCCACGCCCCGCCCTCTGGTCCCTCCCGTCCGTGAACAAGCCCAGTGCCCTGCCTTTCCCCTTCTTCAAACGCAAAGTCCTCCCGGGCACACTGGAATCCAGAGCAGGGTTTACCAGTAAGCCCCTCCGCTCTGGAAACCACATTCGCATCGGCTTGCCAGTCGACTTTTCAGATCCGATTCCTGTAATACGCGAAACCACCAGCCTCTCTTCATTCCTTTCCAGCCTAATTCCCCGCATGCAAATGACATCTATATCAGTGCAAGTGACACCACCTGAATTATCTGGTCCTTGGCCCAAAAAACTGGGTTGGTTGTTTAGTGTAGAGTAGGAAGAGCTCTAAAATGTATTATTAATTGGGGCCGGATTATTTTTGCAACTGTTACTAAGGAAACCTCAATTGCTATAGCAACTGCATATGTTAAACTGGAGTCCTGTGACTAACCTTCAATTCAGTCACGTGGTCTGAGGACAAGAATCCAAGGAAGAGAAATGTTTCAAAGCATTTCCATTTTTATTTCCCTGCCCATGTCAAAATATTGTGAAGTGTTGAAAAGCCTGAAAGCAGCAGCGTATCTGAAATTTGGTGCGTGCCTGGCAGGTGGGCAAGGGGGCCAGCTCCTACCCCACGCTCTGAATTTCCTCGCACGTTCCCAGGCCAGGGAGGCCCTTTCCTGAAGCCCGGACGAGACCGCGGCCATGACTCGTTAGGAGGCGCGCAGGCACTCTGACCAGTGCTGCCCGGGCTGGTATGCGCCCACCTGCGTCACCTTCCTCCACCGGTAGGAGCGCCCGGGCCCCCTGTAAGGACCCCCAGGTGTCTGCAAGACGAGAAGAATCACAGCACATACCTCATAATGGTGTGTGATTAAAAGCAACAGTTTCTAGAACGAGATCAGCACAGAGCCTGGTATGTAACGAACACCCGATACGTTTTCACTACACCCGTTTCTCGGTTTCCGGGCTCAGTCTCACGTTCAAAGCTCGACATTAAGGGGTGAACTTGCTGCAAAAGAGCTGTCCGTGGACCAGCAGCATCTGCGCTACCTGGGAGTTTGTCAGAAAAGCAGACTGGTGGGTCCCACCCCAGACCTCCCGAAAGAGGACCTGCCTTTTAACAAGAGCCCTGGGTGGTTCAAGTGCACCTTAAGCCTGTGAAACCTTGGACTTGGTCGTGTGTGAGTGAATGGACTTGGACCACACAGTCAGAGGTGAAGCGAAGAGGCTGAGGGCTGAGGCTTGGTTAATCTCTCGCAGGAAGAAGGTCGGAGAGGCCCCACCGGAGGGTAGAGACTCCAGCTGACAGCAGCAGCGGCCTTCGCGGGCACCCCATGACCCCCGGGGCCGGGCTGTTCTCTGTTTGAGAGAAGGGCCCTTGCTTTCTGCATCTGGAGGGTCTCTTTCCCAGGCCTCTGATCGAAACGTGGGGAATCGCGTGTTCTGCATCATCAGAGAGGCTGTTGCCTTACAGCAAGGACAGGGTGATCTGAAGGCGACAGGTGTTAAGGGGAGAAGAGCCAGCCCCCCACCCTGCAGACTCCATCTTCCGCGTGCACTTCCCACTCGAAACTCGCTTCTCCCAGCGATAAGGGATTCCCTTAAATCCCGCTAAGGCTCTGGGGCATGCTGCCTCATGGGGAAGCTATTTTTTCTGGCTGATGCCTTCGTATGTGTGTCTCCTCCGCCCCTGCTACAGGCGTGCCAGGGAGTCGGCGAGTCCCACCGATAATGGAGTCACGCCTAAGTGAGGGAAGGTGGGTCGAAGGGGACGCCTTTCGCTTGTCTTTAAATTAGCACCTACCTTTTATGGCAGAGTCACCCCGTCTCCTGGCCCGGGCCAAGCTCGTTCCGACTGTACCAAACCTCAGCACCAATTTGCTTTGAGGCAAAGTCCCTTCCCCCTTTTTTGAAAAATTAAATTTAAATTAAAACATTAATTTTCTTTTCTCTATTCCCACCCCCCACCTCCCTCCCCTTCGGCAGCCATCAGCTTGTTCTCTGTACCTGTGGGTCTGTTTCTGTTTTCTGCTGTTTATTCATTTGTTTTGTTTTGTTTGATTCTACATGTAAATGAAATCATAGAGTATTTGTCTTTCTCTCACTTACTTCATTTAGCATAATACCCTCTAGGTCCCTCCAGGTTGTTGCAAATGGCAAGATTTCATTCATTTTATTGCTGAATAATGCTCCATTGCATATACGTGCCACAACTTCTTTATACAATCACCTAGTGATCGACATCGAGGCTGCTTCCACAGCCCGGATACTAGTAAAGCTACAATGCACAGAGGGGCGCGTATGTCTTTTCAAATGAGTGTTTTTGTTTCCTTCAGATAAAGACCCAGAAGCGGGATTGCTGGACCGTATGGCAGGTCTATATTTCTATTTCTGAGGAAGCTCCAGACTGTTTTCCACCTTGGCTGCATCAGTTTGCATTCTCACCAAGGATGTGCAAGGGTTCCCATTTCTCTACATCCTCACCAGCACTTTATATTTCTTGATTCACTGATTAAGTTCATTTTCGAAGGTCTTACCTTTCCTACTAAATTATAAGCATCTGAAGGGCAGAGACTACAACCCAATCACTTGTTAATCAGATTAATAAATGGATGACTGAATAAAGATACGATGAATCTCTTCTTGGAGGTGTGAGAATGTGAAGAAAGGCATTTATTTAATCACGGTCGTGACAGGAGGGCGAGAACTTTTCAAAAAACATGTGACATTCGAGTTAGTCCCTGAAACACGAGTGAGGAGGTGGTCCCTAGACAGAGGAGGAGAGTGAAAGGCCACCCCCGAGAGAGGGGACAGTGAGCTGAGGTGAGACATGCTCCGTGCATCGCGTTCAGGGCAGAGCGAGTGGTCAGGCCTGGAGGATGACGCCTCCGCCAGACGTCAAGGGGCCTGGGGCATGTTCCAGACCCCAACCACCTATGGCTCTCAGGGTGCGGTCAGTGTGCCTGCAGCATCACCATCACCTGGGGACTTAACTGAGAGCACGGAGTTGCCAGCGCTGCAGGTGGGGCCCAGGGTGACGCACGCTGAGTTTGAGAACCACAGGTGAGGTGGTGAGGTGGCCCCAGGTAACTGTGTGCGGTGGTGCGAGCAGAAGCCAGAGGCTGGCAGGTGAGGAGCTGCAGGCAGAGAGGGAGAAGGAGAGAAGGCTGACGCTGTTCTGCACTAAGGC